TTTTTTTTTTTTTTCCTAAGCAATTACATCCATCGTTTTTCTCTTTTCCAAGATGGCCGACGCTATGGTTTTCTACGAAGTCAGTGCTTACTTAGCTCACTAACAGCGCTGCTGTTGGCGGCTGCGGCTGCTGCTGTGGCAGGATTTTCAATGTGGTGTGTTTTCAAGCCTCACTCACTCATCCTCTCATTCCCAAACATTCAGCATCCGTGCACACTCCTCACTTCCGGGTTTTTCAAAAGATTGGAGATTTCCAGTGGGGGTCTCAGGTTATCATCCCAATGGTAACAGATCTAAAAACAGACGGAAAACAAGTCAACTTTGAGATCACATACAGTTGGAAGAGTCAAACGCTTCTGATTCCCACAATTAAGTGCTCACCAGCCTGAAATGAATTGGTCTAGTTTGTCCTAATAAAAGGACTAACTGTTTTTCTTGTCTTCCTATGTGCCAGCTACCTGCTCTCATTAGTACCTATATTAAGAGGGTAGGAGGGAAGCTAACAAGATAAAACTCAAAATAGCCAATTTTATCGAGATCTTTGGAGTAAGACAATGAGTATGTGGAGAGTTGAAAAAATAAAGACTACATCTGAAAGCAAGGGTCAGGGGTGCCTGGGTGTCTGATTCTTGATTTCAGCTCAGGTCACGATATCACAGTTAGCGAGCCCCTTCTATGCTGACAATGCGGAGCCTGCTTGGGATTCTCTCTCCCTGCCTCTCCCCTCCCCTCTCTCAAAAATAAATAAAAAATTAAAAAAAAAACCAAAAAGCAAGCGTCACACAACTCTTGACTTTGGATATCTTCTGCAGAGCTATGCAATGTCTAAAAGCGCTGCAGTAAAAAAAAAAGTATAAAGAGCAGGAGGAAGGGAATAGCGAGTAGAAAAGAAAATTCTGGGAAAATGCCTTACCGATGACTTTATTAGGACCCAAAATCATGTGGGGCCTTCACTGAATTCCAGTTACATAAGTTCTGCTCTTCATCACCACACGGAATCAAGTATTTGGCTCAAGGAAAGATTGAGGATGCCCGACCCTTCCACTAGTACAAGCCTGAGGAACAAAGGCTTGGCTCAAAAGCACTTATATGGGAAGGGATACAAAACAAAATGCCAGGAGACAGGCAGCCCTTGTTGGAACAGTCTGAAGAAACTGTGCCTCCTCCCCAAGAGAGTAGAAGGAAGAGGGCAATGGAGATGAGCTCTTACCAAGCTTGGTTCTTCAGTTTTCTCAGTTCTTTTGTTGCCCATGTAGCAAGGGTTTTTGCTTTGTTAGTCTTCGATCTCCGTCCTTCAGTTAACAGTTCATGGATCATTGGCCTAGCTTCTACTAATTTCAGTACGTCCTTCCCAAATGCTGTACACAAGTCCCTGTGCAGAACAAACACACCTGACAATGAGCTCCTTGGCCCGACACTGCTATCATATCATTTTGAGCCTTCCAACCCAGTGCTAAGCTTAGTTGTGGGTTTCTTCATATTTACCTGCTTTTTAATGTTTATTTATTTTGAGAGAGAGAGAGAGTGAACGCGAGCAGGGGAGAGGCAGAGAGAGGGAGACAGAATCCCAAACAGGCTCCAAGCTGCGAGAGCCTGACGCAGGGGTCAAACTCCCGAACCGTGAGGTCACGACCTGAGCCGAAATCAAGAGTCGGACACTCAACCAACTGAGCCTCCCAGGTGCCCCTGTATTCACTTATTTTTTAAAGCTGGAAGAAATTTTAGGGATAAGTTGAGCACCTACCCTCAACAGATGCACAAAATGAACTCTAAAGAGAGAGGATGACTACTGCAGGTTCCACAACTAACTCATGGTTCTCTCTTCTAATGATGCCTCAGAAACTCTCAACAGAGGAGGCTAAACATAGGCAATCTGTTGACCAGCCTCAGAATATGGGATGGACACAGATCTGATGCTGCTCCTATACCTCTGAGAACTCACTTCATAGTTTAGCGAAAAGAAATTAGAAACCTGGAGTCTGGAATAAGACCCAAGCTAAGGTCTGTAGTAAATTCTCACCTGTGAGAACTCCTAACAGGACACCATGGGTTCTATTAAAGAAATACCAGGACGCCTGGGTGGCTCAGTAGGTTAAGCGTCCCACTCTTGATTTCAGCTCTGATCACGATCTCATGGTTCATGGGATTGAGCCCCACGTTGGGCTCTATGCTGACAGGGCAGCACCTGCTCAGGACTGTTTCTCTCTGCCCCTTCTCCCTCCCTCTCAAAATAAACAGACATTAAAAAAAGAAGTATCCATGTTAAAGAAGTACACAATCACCATCCAGGCTACCCTCAAAATTCTTTACCACATGTCTTCAGATTTTCCAAAAGTTCTATTTAGCTACTGGAAATAGGATATAACCTACCCTATCAGTCCAGCAGCACAAGCTACTACTCCATCTGTATGATCCTCATCTCCAGCAATGTGGTCAATGAAAGACAGAATAAATTCTACTCTGGGTTGTACCAGCATCACATCCGCTATAAAAGAAAGAGAAAGTCTGATGAAACTGTCCCACGGTGGCAGGACTGTACCCCCCATTTCAAAGTTTCCAAATACACTATCCCCCTCACAAGGCTGGCTTCAGGTGGGAGAATTAGCTGCATATAGTTATACCGAACTGTCCTTTCGCAGATTAAGATGTCATTCTTCACATCCACACAAGAGGCAGACAGTCCTTTTATTACAAGCAGAAATAATATAGAAGAAACTAATGGGACCTTTCCTCTAAGCCCATGGTATCAAAAGAGGTAAAGGACAAATACTTCCCTAGTCAGTAACAGAAATATCAGGTGACAGAGGAAATCTGATCTCCCAGTCCTTTAATTCAATTGCACTAGGGGTGTGTATGTGCTCACAGCTGCCACTCGGGGTTGGTGTAGATGCCAACCAGCACCCACAGCCTTGCTGGATCCCATCCCTTGCAATGCCCAAGAAAGGGGAGACAAAGCAGCAGAGGAAGAGGGTACAGAAACACGAAAGGCCATATTCTCTCCCAAAGCAACTGTCTTCATCAGGGCCCTTCCTTCTCCCCTTCCTTTCCATTCACAAGTGACAGAACTAGAGGCACAGCCCCTTTGGCTAAGTGAACTCTGGACTGAGTCAATTGGGTTGTATACTCAACGGTGCACGTTCTCCTGGTCTCCCTTCAGTCCCTGGACAATTCCGGTATAGGCTTCCAAGCAGCCTTCCCTTAGCTCATTCAGGTAATCCACCATGTCATAGTCTGACTGTAAGACACAAAACAGAACGTCCATCATTCCAAGACCCTTTAGTTGTACGACTGTCAAAAATCCCCCTCATCCAATCAGGGCCGGACTTAAAGATAGCTTTAAGCCTACCTTGTCCACCTGGGCTTGGGAGGCCTGCTGAAGAGTATTCAAGACGACCTCTAGATATTTTTTAAACTCTCCACCAATAGCAAGGGCAATATCACCAAACACTGACAGAATCTGTGGCTTCACAGACCTGTGGACATTTTCATTCTGATAGAGAGAGAAAAGCAAATGAATAAAAGTCACGTGTCCCGTCCAAAGGCTGTAACAAACAACTACTAATATGCTGTGTACAGACCACATAATCTCTGAAAAGAGGGATTATGTATGCACTTTACTGGCTTCCCTGAACCACCCCCACCCCTCCCCCCATTCCATGCAGCGAGCACATGCATTCCTTTAACTTTACAACTTTATAGAATGACTTCGTGAAAACGAACAATTCCTTTCTTCATAAGCCTACAGCCAACATTCCAGCAACTTAAAGAGTTCCCTCTCCCTGAGTTTTTAACCATGTTTCCAACTGACGATTTCTTCAGATCCTAGTAGACTGGCTTGTGCGTGCAGACACTCACCCCCAGGTTCTCCAGGAGGAGCTGCATCACCTCGTCACAGAAAGGTAAGATGTTGGACTGCAGGGCACGGCATAAGTCTCCCACTAAGCCCACAGCTGCCAAACAAACCTGCAAAGAATCCAGGAAATGATCTTCCGAGCATAAAGGCCAACTGCGGGGTAAGGCATTATTTTTACTTAGCTGCTGCTCCTTTTATCACCTGAGCCTAGAGTGCAAGAAGAAAACATCCTCCCCTCTCTGAGATCAGTTCATTTTAACAACCAGTACCTCAGGAAAAAAACTAAGGCCGTCCAAGGTTATCATTAAGAAAGGACAGAAATGACAGTATTCCCCAGGAACGATGGTGGCAAGAGCCAGGTGGTTAAAAAAAAAAAAAAGAGAAGGAAAAAACCCGGCTCTTAGGGCGCCATGCTGGTGCAGCTAGTATCTTGGTTTTTTTCACGGACTACTTCTGGGGAGTTGCCCTGAGTTCAGACACTCAGGGAAACAGAATAAGCAGTTCACACCCAGGGCCAATGCACCGAGACTGTCTGGACTTTGTACCACAATGACTGTCCAGTATAAGCGAGAATATAAACGTGTTCTATTGAAAAGCATGGACTACCTGGTACTCAGCATAGTTTTTCAATCCAATGCCCAGGAAGGGTTTAAAGGCCTCCATGTACTTTAGGAACTCACCACCCAACACTGCAAAGAAGCAAACTGTTAGCACCACAGGATATCACAGAAGTGAGCAAAAATAACCATCCTGGCTCTCCCAAAATGTATTCGCTCCACACAACAGGTTGGGTGGAGCGTGCATTAATTACCAATTCTCCAATGAAGATGTTAAGGCTGTCTCAGACAAGTCAAATTCCTAAGTGCTGGAAGGGCCTAACTCTTAGGCCCCAAAGATAATGCCAAATCTCCACGGAGGGGGATTTCACTTTGGCTGAAAAAAACCCAAGTGGTTTTTTTCACAGAACGTCAGGGTTAATTTTGAATTGGATGAGCTAACAATGCTGCCTCTTGGCCACCTCTTCACCTGGTTATAACATGTCTTCTCTGGCAGCCAGGTTTAAAACAGGGTCCATCCCTGGGCAATCCCATCAAGGACTTATTTAACAAGCCAGTCAGAGAAAGCAGACTAGGCTTCTTTCCGAATTCACCACTCCGGGAGCCATAATGAACTGCCGGGTCCTGTCAGGGTGGTTACATGTGGCCAGATCAGCTGAACATATGCTTCTTATGCTAGAAATTGGTCTGCTCCTCGGAGAAGTAGTCCTCTGGTAATGGCCTTGGTAATACACTTTACAGGCCATCCCTGAAGAAGCATTCCAGGTTTCTGAAGTGCTCTTTAATGTGCTTTTAAATGGCCCTTCGAAGAGTCTTAAGCAGACGTGGCTCCCCCAAAGCAATTTTGTATAGTCAGACATATAACAACCAGAAAACCAATTAATTCCTAGAACTCTCAATGTTTTACTCCATCCCATACGAGGGACCATGCATGATGTGTCAACCTGGAGTCTGAAGCATTACAACTTGAACCAGAAGGTAGCAAGTTCCAGCAAAGAAAACAGAAACCTTTCCTTCCTCCATCCTTGAAAGGAACCAAACTTCAATAAAGCAAGTAGACTTTCAGGGTTAAAAGGAACCTGACGAACATGGGGTAGATGATAATAGTTTCTTCCCCAGAACAGTTGCCAATCTGAGATGCAAACTGGCCACCCATTTATTTCAGTGAGAGTGGCAAAGCAGTTATACACAAAGTTATGCTTATATTCAACCCAACTTTGCACTCCAGTCATGCCCCAGTAAATGAGAAGACAGGACTATGCTTTCTCTGGTCAAAAATTTCCCATGGCCATTGAAACTCCCATACCCTAAAGACACTCCCTGCCCAATTTTGGCTCACTGACCTTCCACCAGTGTGCTAACTGCCATTAGGGCATCCTCTTGCACTCCCCCAGACCCAGCTGTGCTTTGGAACATCCTTAACAGGGAGGCCATGACCACATCAGAGATCTGCAAAGCATCTTGATGTTGTACTTTCCGGAGAACATTCTATGAAATGAACAAGAAAGAGTTCAGGATCTGTTGATTCTAAACCTTCCAATCAGAACACTAAACACACCTTCCTGGGGAAAAAAAAAAAAAAAAAAAAAATCAATTAAATCCCTTGACTTTCTAGCTTTTTTTTTTTTTTTTTGGAAATGCCAAATACACTTTTTGTAATCAAAAGCTTTCACAGTGTAAATCACCTGCAACAAAACATGCATTTTAAGATCCCTTCTATTCCCCAATTCAGAATGAACACAAGATAATCTTCCATGGTACATAAACTCATTTCTTCTGCATTTCATTTATGTCTGATAAACCCATCAGTAGCCTCCATATTCCAATCTTCCTGGAATGGCACTTGAATTTACTTCAGCTTTAAAGAAGAACAGGTTATATTATAGTTCCTACTCATCAAACAAAAAAGCAATCCTTCCTATATCCTAACCTATTTACAGATGATAGGAAAGAAATAGCTTTGATAAAATAAAGCCAACTGAATTATCCTAATTCAATATTCCTCAAACCTCCCTCCTTAGCCTTTAATTTGTTTCAACTAATGTTACCAGATCATTCCTGCATTTGTCGGATAACTAAACAAAGACCTTAACAGTCAAGCTTAAAAAAAAAAAATTAAGTTTGGTTAAGAAAGAAAAGAGAGTTCATAGGGAAGGTGACCTAGTTAGCATCACTCAATACTAAAACCTAGTACCTACGTAAGCATTAGACAATTTCCAGGGTTTTCCTACCTTTGGTTAAAAAAGGGAATAGCACCTCAGCCACTCCATGAGCCCAGTCATGAATGGGTGACGTTTGATTTAAAGATTCCCGGTCTCCCCTCAAAAGACTACTCTGAATAACAGGTACTATAAATGACATAAATTATAATAAAGCTTCCAATAGGAACTGTTGTTTCAAAAGACGATGGCAGAAAAACTCAAGGCTTCATTTTTTTAGCTGAGTGAACCACAGCTGGGAGCCAAATCTGGCTGGGCTACATTTGGACAACCCAATAAAAAACCCAAGACTGGAAGCTGCCAACACAACATAGCTGTACAACATCATAAAACGAGCAGTTTCCTCCCCTAAACTGGGCAAAAGACAAATTCTGTCTTTACGGACAGAGAAGAAAAGAGAACACTTTCTGATCGGCCTCAGAACTGGTAAGCGATAAAGCACCACTGTACCTGAAGAGTTGCGCAGAGCAAAGACTGAAGGTCATTGAACTGGATCCTATCCGATGTGCTCTGGATATGTGACTACAAAGAAAAGAAGATCATCATATTCTGAATAAACACCTTCTAAAAGAGCGCTGAACTTCCTCAATGCTTCCATTTTTGCTGGGTTTAGCAAGACCATTAAATAATCTTTACTGATTCTAACGTAGGAAATAAAAAACTCACAGATGTATATGATGTGATGTGTCTAAGTAACTGGGATGAGCAATGCAGATTTAAAGAGGCAACGTTTTTTGTATAAGCCTTACATCGTTCTGAGAAAATATATATTTACACGTAAATATAAACACCAAGAAGAGAGGACGGGCCTCCCACCTCCGACCAAGCCAGGAAAGCCCAGTCTCACCTCCATCTGGAGCACCTGCTGCAGTCGCTCCATGATAACCAGAGTAGTCTTCTGAACCGCAGGGTAACAATCCTTGGCACTGTTTTTCACAATTTCCATCAGAGATTCATATGCAGAACTCCTCAGGTTGTTCTGGTGTCCATCAGGTCTGTAAGGAAGACACAACAACAATCTTAAAGTCTCACCTGAGAAAAAGAATAGAGTTGTTATGACATAGACCTTGTTGCAAAGAAAATAAGGATCCTATGGGGTGCCTGGGGGGTGGCTCAGTCAGTTAAGCATCTGACTTCAGCTCAGGTCATGATCTCATGGTTCGTGAGTCTGAGCCCAGAGCTGTCAGCACAGAGCCTGGAGCCTGCTTCAGATTCTGTTTCCCTCTCTGCCCCTCCCCCACTTACACTGTCTCAAAAATAACGTTTAAAAAAAAAACAAAAAGGGAAGAAAATAAGGATCCTAGAACTGGTACGGTTGCAAAGGTGGTTTGAGTTTGACAACACAATACAACCAGGAAATAAATTTTCAACTGTGAAGCCAATGGCTATCTTCATTATGGGTCTCCAGAGCTGGTTAAACTTTAGAATAACTCTTTGGAAATGGGCTGACATTATAGGGAAACAAATTAGTTTAAAATGCTCAAGGTGCCTGGGTGGCTCAGCCAGTTAAGCATCCAACTTTGGCTCAGGTCATGATCTCGCCGTTTGTGGGTTTGAGCCCCGTGAGCTGTGCTGTCTGTGCTGACAGCTTAGAGCCTGGTTTAGATTCTGTGTCTCCCCCTCTCTCTCTCAAAAATAAACAGAAGAAAAAAAAAAAAAGAATTTAGGTTTATGGGGGGAGGGGATAAAAATAAAATAAATGCAGACGAAAGCATGTGGACAAATGAAGACGTTGCCTGAATAGCTAAGAAAAAGATAATTTTCTTCATTCATCTGTGAAAGATGGTGTTATATATACTCTTGATCAGAGAAGTAAAGATAAACTAAGGAAGCATGGAAGAGTTTAAACCCAGTCTTCTTCCTAATGGTTTCTTTTGAGCATGGCTTTAGGTATAGCTCACATACAACCAAAATTAAAGGTCGTTCCAACTTATAACCCCTTAGAACTACATTTCATGGGCGCATGGCTGGCTCAGGTGGTGGAGCATGTCACTCTTGTTCTTGGGGTTGTTAAGTTCGAGCTGCATATTGGGGGTAGAGATTACTTAAAAACAAATCTTTATTTTTTAAAATATTTTCTTTTAATTTTTAATGTTCGTTTACTCTTGAGAGAGACAGAGCACAAGTGGGGGAGGGGCAGAGAGAGGAGACACAGAATCTGAAGCAGGCTCTGGGCTCCGAACTGTCAGCACAGAGCCTGACATGGGGCTCGAACCCATGAACCACAAGATCATGACCTGAGCTGAAGTCGGACACTTAACCGACTAAGCCACCCAGACGCCCCTAAAAATAAATCTTTAAAAAAATTTTTTCAAAAGCTCACTTCTAAAACAACTGCATTTTAATGCCAAGTTCTTCACCTATTTTCAAAAGTAGTAATTAATGATCTGGTGTGGCGATTAAATCCATAATAAGAGCTACGATTTCCTTTATACCATAATCAAAGGCTCCTGTTACGAGTAGACACTGAAAAACGAAGGGACCTCTCTAGACCAATTCCTCTTTATATGAGACTATTTTCTGACTTCACTTGTAACCTCAACATTCTGAGGTAGACATAGTCTGTATTTTCTTCTTTTTTTAAATGTTTATTTTTGAGAGAGAGAGGGAAACAGAGTGTGAGTGGGGGAGGGGCACAGAGCCCAATGCGGGGCTCAAACCCACAAACTGTGAGATTGTGACCTGAGTCGAAGTCAGACGTTTAACCGACTGAGCCACCAGGGCGCCCATGTATTTTCTTCTCTTATTTTTTAGCCCCAACATGGGGCTCAAACTCATGACCCTGAAATCAAGAGTTGCATGCTCTCACGACGGAGCCAGCCAGGTGTCCCTTTCTCTTATTTAAACAAACAGTGTACCAGAAGACTCTTTTAATGCTTCCTGTTACTATGTTCCCATGATTAGGTTATACAGAGGCACCCCCCCACCACACACAAGGCAAAAGGATTTGGATGCAAAGATACCACCCACTTCTGTATATATCAGTCACCTGTCTGTAGTTTCTAGAAGCTTCTGAACTATGAGTTCAAAAGAAGAAGATAAGCAATAGGTAGCTGGTTCTTCCTGATCATCAGCCACATCTGCAGCTTCATAAGCAGCTTCAGCCAGACTGGAGAAAGCCTTAAACAGAGACAGAGTCAACATTAGTCCTGAAAAGAACCCCTCCCCAGGACAACCTCATTTCTCCTTAACATACTATGGGCAGTGTTCGTTTCCAACTGACCTAAGAATAAATCAATGCTAGTGAATCCTCAACTTTTCCTGTCAAAGTCCTAAGACAATCACTTAACAAGAGGTATCCTTAAAATTAAATATTTATGTATTTGTTTATTTATATCGTTTGTCCCACCCCAAACTCTCTCAGCAGCAGAGTTCTTTCATCTACCACAAATACCTGCCACTACGTCATTTCTTTTTCCACTTACAGAAAGGCTTTTTAGCCCCACTCCTTCCTTGTCTGAACTTCCTCCCCCACACCCCCAAAGGTCCCTAATGAACTACCTTCAGCCTGCACTGACTCAGCATTTGGGCCGCCTACCTTCCTTCTCTTTTGCCCCCTTCTCAGCAATGGTACTTTTTGTAGCTAGCAACTCTCTACCTTAATCAAAATTTCTTGTTCCCCAAGCAACTGAAGAAAGAAAACCAGGTCCAGATAGTTTTCCCACTGGGTTAGCATGACTGTTCTAAATGGTTTGGGAACCAGTTCACCATGAGTCAACAGCTCCCACTGGCTCATGCAATTGGCATCCCCCACATTTTAATTGAAGAAATGAGAAAGGAGATGCTATTCAGAAAAGGCCTTCCAGTGAGGTAGACCCATTTCTCTCCCACACCTCCTACCTCCTTGCCCATGGCTCAGCCCAGCTCCGTATCTCCGTGGAAAGAAGAGCCCTTACCCAGCACACATTTGAAGCCACTCTGGGTTCAGCACTGAGGCCCTCAATCAGACACTGTAGCAGGGGAGTTAAGTAGACATCATTGATGGCAGCTTCAGGGAGCAGTTCACAAATTCGGCCCACAGTCCACGCGGTTGTATCTCGAACAACTACACTGGGGTCTTTCATTAATTCTATTAGGGTGGGCATAGCCTGCAAATATAGCAATTAGCAAAGCGAAGCAAAGATTAAGATTCATGTCGACGGACACCTCAGAGGAGGAAATGCCGATGGTTGGGATTTTTCCTTAAAAATTTTTTTCAGTACTCTCTACACCCAACATGGGATTCCAACTCACGACTCCAAGACCAAGAGTCACACGGTCTTCTGACTGAGCTACCCAGTGCCCCCTGATGGTTGGGTTTTAACCCAAAGCATCAAGACAGTGTGTCATTTTAGAAGATACGTCTGTCCTGTATCCAACAGTATGATAAAAACAAAAGGAAAAGTGAAACAGTCCTCTCTTCACCAAATCCCAGCAGACAGTTTTATTAGAAGTCTAGCAAGAAAAAGCTTCCAGCAGACTTCCGCCGAATCTCTCAGGTGGTGCACCTCCGTGCAGTGGCGATGGCGTGCGGCTCCACTGGGAGAGGCCGAGTTCCACCCCACTGCACTCCGTTCCAATGGGCTCTCGCAGTGCTTTGTAATAGTAAAATAAACACCCTGTTTCCACAAGACTTTTCGTTACACAGCTATCATTGTGTCCCAAGGACAGAATCATCACATAAAAATTACGGGGAAGGTTTATGACACAGCAGGTAAGTGAAAACACAAGTCCTGAGACTGCTGCACAGGAAGATGCCCATCCTGTCGCACACACATGTGCACACAGAAGACAGCGACACAGATCAACGCTAAGAGTTAAGAATGTTATCCTTCAGCACGTGATTAAAGGGGACTTTTTCTGCCTTTCTGTCAAGTCCTGAGTTTTGTTAACAATCCAGAAATTACCTTTGTGGAGGACTACGTACAGTTTTGTTTTTAAAATAAAGGCACACTCTCAAGTAAAAAGCTCAAGTAATAAATATCCCATTTAAAAGCCCCCAGCCTCACCTGTATAACTAGTGGTTTGAGCTGATTGGGCTCTGGTCCTTCCAAGATACAGCCAAAAGCCATTACTGCTGCATCCCGGTACCGCCAATCCGGGTTCTTGATGTGTTCTTTAATGAAGGGGAGGACATGTGGGACGATGTCATCTTCACAACAGGTGGCCAGAAGCATGAGGCACACGCCTGCCGCTTTGCAGGGGTTCCAGTCGTCGTCGTCGTCATTTTCGTCCTGATGAAGAGAATGTGGCACTAGTTCAGTTTTTGTTCAAAGAATCACTTCAACTCAAAAAAAAAAAAAAAAAAAAAAAAAAAAAAAAAAAAAAAAAAAAAAAAAAAATCACTACCTCCAAAGGTCTTCTGACTACTCCCAGATGTCACTGGAACTTAAGTTTTGCGGATGTAAATAAAATATAAAACCTTTACACGTACGAACGTATATACACGTATATACAATATTAAAGTTTACTTATTTATTCTGAGAGAGCACACAGGCACGTGAGCAGGGGAGGAACAGAGCGAGAATCCCCCACAGGCTCCATGCTGTCGGCGTGGAGCCCAACGCAGAGCTCGATCTCATGAGCCAGGAGATCGTGACTGGAGCCAAAATCAAGAGTTGGACACTCAACCGACTGAGCCACCCCATGAAAACCTTTATGTTTGAATCTCTTCCATAAAGACTCATCGCAGCATAGCCTGTGATGCAGACAGAGGGAAGTCCCACTTCATACTACACAAGGACACAGACGACTCCCGCTACATGCAACAAGAAGGATGAAACTGGGACACACAGCAAGTGAAAGGCAGAGCAAGAGTATATGCCGTATGATTCTAGTTATGTAAAGGCCAAAATCAGTCAAAACTAATTTATGGTAGTAAAGGTGAGGGAGTGAATGACTCGGAAGAAGCCGTGAGGCGGCTTCTGGTGTGCTAATAATTATTACAGTCCAATGAAAAGTTAAACCAAAACCAACGTCAAAACCAAGATTCCATTCGCATTTCTCCGGAAACTAGAATTCACGGTCTAGCTTCCTTACTGTGGCTACTCACACCACACAATCAATTTAAGGTAGGCTGCCTTAGGCACCTTCGGGATATGACACACCTAAAGAATGATTTGTTCCCAAGTGCGGAAAACACAACAAAAATATACAAAAGCGAAGACACTAAGGTCAAAAGATAAAAAGTGGCTGTAAAACTCAAAGATGAGATGAAAATTTGAGAGAGAACCCAGTCCACTTCAAACCAAATACGTCTCTACTTCTCTTTTGAGATTGTTGTATTGAAAGTCATGTACTTTCCTAAAACCAAGTAACCTCCGTTTCCAAGGAAATTCTGCAGTGCTCAAAGTGACAACAAGGTTTCCTCAGAGCACTCCCAGCCCTCTGGTAATATTTTACATGTATCAGGAGGGAGGAGATACACAATCTTTCCAAACACCACACCAAGAAAAACTGTCATGCCCCAAATCAAAAGGGAACGATGCCAAGATACACTTCTTATAAAATAAACTTCTATATATATCCATTACGCCCCCATCTTTATGAAGTCATTACTTTTCCTTTGTCCTGGATCTTATGGATGTTAATAATCATGAAGGATCAGAAATTTCTACCACGGGTTGACGTCCTTCACCGGGATGTGAATAATTCTTATCCAACCTCACCAACATTTGAAAAGCGTACACACGTACTGTGAACTCATGAAAACAATCCAGATGTTAGCAGATAAATTAAGTGGCCTAAACTAGTACATCTCTCTCGCTAACCTTCACTGCAACTTTCATAGTGTAGGTCCCCCCCGCACGCCTTTGGACAGGGCTCAAATCAGAGCGGCAGCGGATGTAGCTCTTTTGCCATCAAGACCGAAACGGTCAGACCCAGTCCTCCCTCACAAACAACTCAGAGTCCAGAGGATCTTAGAGATCTGTTTGGCTGTTCCCGAGTCAAGCGGAACAGAACACCAACCGGCTGAAGAGTTGCCGAGTTCCCTCACGGAAACTGTTCCGCAGCAAATCAATCCTCAACAAGGTTCCACGGCTTCCCCGGCTAGATCTGTGAGGTAACTCACCTGTTTGGTTAGTGTCTGTGTGAGGATGGGAACCAGGTACTGGAGTGCTCCCTTGGCATAAAACTTGCTGGTGTGCTCAGGAGGTCGTCCTTGTTCGGCTGCCTGAGGAAAAACATAAAAGCAAATTCTGGACGGCGGCAAACAGGCGGATACTAGAGGCATACAATAAGAGGTGCCCAGGGGTCTGTACAGAAATACACCTAGCAAATGTAACATTTGCTGTGATCTCTGGAGGCGCTCACTTTTTGGTCTACTTCAATGGGATTCTTTTAGGCCATACATATAAATCCACCTTAAAGGGCCAAGGCAATCGTAAGAACTACATTCCTTTTTCACAAGCTCAATTCATATTAACAAGATGTCATCTAACTAACCTTTGGATCAAGAGATGTACTAAGTTTACGTAATGATGCCAAAAATAAAACTGTTTCTTAGTGTGCAAGACAGTGAAGGCTGGAAACAAAGCTTGAGTTCAAAGACTGCAAAGTGCAGAACTAACCCCTCTGTCTAGATCAAATTCCTTCACCAGAGTTAGTAAACTAGCAATTATGCATCCCGTGCTTGCATAAGGACTTCCAAAAGGAAATAATTCGGCGTCAGACATCACCTCATTAAATGGTGACTGCCAGCTGCCCCCTTGTGTTCACGGTACTAATACCAACATTTATAATAAATCGTGTCTGGCTGATCGGTAAAAGCATGACATGCCTCACTAAGGGTCTGTCTCCCTCCTGAGAAGCTTTGGCTAGCAGAAAAAGCAAAATCTCTACAAATGGAGACGCCCTCTAAGCTGAGTCAAAACAAGGCCTTCCCAGAGGAGACTAATGCCCATAAAGGAGCTATGTCCCAAAGCCCAAAGGGAAACAGCCCTCTCCCCCTGGCACCGACTTTCTCCCAGGCTCACCTCAGAAGCCTCAATGGCCAAGTCCATTTCCTCATCACACACATTGGACCAGAATTCTATCCCTTGTAGGGCCACCTCATCAATGTCACTTTTCATTGCTTCAATCGTGATCTTAAGAGGAAAAAAAAAAAATGACACCGCAGACCCCGATTAAGTGCTAGTTCAAGTTAGACCCCTGCTTCTAACCACAGACACTCAAGTGTCAAAAACGTAGATTTATGAACGCTACGTCTGGAAGGAAAGGTAGAAACAGGAAACTGATTTAAAAATACACTCTTTACCAGCACAAAGATAGTACAAGTCTGCTTAGTACATTAGTGATGAGCGTCAACATTAACACTCAGGACTCCAGGAGTTTTCTTGATTTCAGAACATTAAGTAAAAAAATTACAGAAATAACAAGACAGCAAAAACGATGGGCTCTGCAACTAGCTACATGCTGAAATACATAGAACAGAAATACTTACAGCAAAAAGAGCAGGACCCATATACGTCTCCATGTACTGATAATATAAGGACATTATCTTTACCAGATTTTGTAAGGCAGCCACTCGTACCTTTTAAGAAGAAAAGATTACTTTGCTATTTAGCTTAACAATGTAGTCTGACAAAGATATAGAACTACTTCACACAAATGGGACAGTAACCGAAAGGGTCAGTTGAGGTACATTTGGGTAATGTCATCATTTCCCAAAAATCAATCTCTTCCCTTAGTTTTTTTCACTAGCCCTATTTATTTTTCCTCTTTCTTTCAACTTTAAAGGTGCCTGTGGAACCTATGGTGGGACTAAAGTCACAAATGCCACTGAGACTGGATGTTACTCCCACCTGTCTCGAGGGTCAAGGTTTAGGTTACAGCAACAGCAAAAGCTGTTTCAATGGCTACAATGAAAAACAATCTCTTGTGTAATTACAGCAATTAAGAATAAGGGGACCAAAAACCATTTCTTCCTTAAACCTTTTATAAGACCATAGCAACTTACATTACGTTAACTTTCCAAGTACTGTTTTTCCCTCTTTTACTAAAAACAATGTTAGATGTTAGCCAAACCTTATTTCTGAAATCACCTGATTCCCAACATCTATTTATTTTTTATTTTTTAATGTTTATTCATTTATTTTGAGAGGGAGAGAGGGAGTACACGCAGGGGAGGGGCAGAGAGAGAATCCCAAGCAGGTTCCGTGCTGTCAGCACAGAGCCTGACGTGGGGCTCAAACTCACGATCCATGAGATCATGACCTGAGCTGAAACCAAGAGTCAGACGCTTAACCAACTGAGTCACCCAGGTGCCCCTGATTCCCAACATTTCAAACTACTATGCTAGAGATGGCATTTCCTAGGAAAGATGGAAGACAGATATTATCTGACCTCATACTTACCCTTGTATCTGGACACTGTGTGGCTTCACAGACCACCTGCATAATAAAGTGCCTCTCGGACTGTAGGAAGAATAAAAAAAAGAGAATAAGATTCTTCACATATATGAAGATCCTAGACTACCTCTTCAGGGAAAACCTAGCACTCCCATAACCCTGGACCAATTGAGCAGCTTTGCCCTGACATAGTAATGGCACTGTGAAAGCTATAAAAGAGTTTGCCCCCAGTGTCTATTATATGACCTGCCCTCTAAAGAGGTCCCTAATCTTTTAATCCCCAAAATGACCTTCACTAACAAGACTCCAAGGAGGAAGTAGAAAGGAAAATGTAGGTCACAGAGTTTAAATAAAAATGGTTACAAACAAAAATCCCTACATTAGGAAAATCCATTTCTTTATATTTAAAATTTGAGAATTCAAAACATCTGCTTTACTTAGGGGACAAACTTGTTTTCCGGGAGGTGGCAAATCCCCATCAAATGTGGTAAGATACCGGAGAACAGAGCAATGAACTTATTTGCTACTATGCTAAGTCTTCTGAAATGTGAAAGGAAAAAGCCTATTTTCTAAACAATTAGAATTACAATTTGCTTTGTCTTCTTGGACCTCCCTACTTTGTCCACAAGACCAAGAAATGGCAAAAAGCACAGCTGAAGTGTCAACACACATAGATACAAAAAAACTTCCAGATGGGCGCCTGGGTGGCGCAGTCGGTTAAGCGTCCGACTTCAGCCAGGTCACGATCTCACGGTCCGTGAGTTCGAGCCCCACGTCAGGCTCTGGGCTGATGGCTCGGAGCCTGGAGCCTGTTTCCGATTCTGTGTCTCCCTCTCTCTCTGCCCCTCCCCCGTTCATGCTCTGTCTCTCTCTGTCCCAAAAATAAATAAACGTTGAAAAAAAAAAAATTAAAAAAAAAAAAAAAAACTTTCAGATCATATAATCCAGCAATTCCACTTGAGTATATATGTCCCAGAGAACTGAAACCAGGGCCTCAAAGACCTAGCTGTATACCCTTGCCCATAGCAGCAGTATTCACAACAGCCAGAAGATGAAAGGAAGCAACCCAAATGTCCACTGACAGATGAATAAACAAAACATGATGTATACCCACAACAGAATATTATTCAGCCTGAGAAAGGAAATTCCGACACATGCTACAACACGTATGAACCCAAGACATCATGTTAAATGAAATAAGCCGGTCACCAAAAGGCAAATCAAATACTGTATGATTGATGACACTTAAATAAGGTATCTAGTGTAATCAAATTCATAGAAACAGAAAGTGAAAGAGTGGTTGCCAGGGCCTGGGAAGGGGAAAACAGAGAGTTGTTTAATGCATACAGTTGCAGTTTTGCAAGATGAAAAAGTTCTGGAGACTGGTTGCAAAACAACGGGAATATGTTTAACACTACTGAATTGTACACTTACAATGGTTAAGATGTAAATGTTAGGTTACTATAGATTTTAACAGAACTTAAGTAATGGGGGAAATACTTTCAGGCAAGATAAACTTTCTTTATACATTAATTTTCAAAAGCACCCTTCTAAGGAGGTGTGAAATAGTTCAACTTCTATAATTTTTTTTTCAAGTACATTCTATGGCCAACATGGGGCTCAAGCATGTGACCTCAAGATCAAGAGTTACATGCTCTACCAGCTGAGCCAGCCAGTTACCCCCCAACCCCCTGCTTTCTTTACAGAGGAAGAGAGAGAGCGAGAGAATTTTAAAGAGGCTCCACGCTCAGCACAGAGACGCCACAGGACTCTATCCTACGACCTGGGATCATGACCAGAGCTGAAATTAAGTCAGATGCTCAACCCACTGAGCCCCCCAGGTGCCCCCCGCCCTTTTGAAGTAAGCTCTACAACTTCTGTCGTATTTTTAAAATCTCAGAGCACATCCACATTTTGATCTGCAGAAGGAAAAACCTAAGCTTAGAAACACTTCAGATCACATTTTCCCCAAAGCCTCATGAAAAAAGGCAAACACCTACTCCAAGACCATTTCTTACATAACACAAATCTTGAATGGAAATGAGTGCACCTAGTAGTGCACTAAATCACAAAACTTAAAACAAAACAAAACAAAACAAAACAAAAAGCCCTTTCATTTAATTGTTACTCCGCACCTTCTAAACCTTTTTGTCGAAAGAGACTCACCTCTTTGTCAAAGTTTGCTTTGGTGAACTCCAATGAGTTCAGGAGTGCATTAGTAGCCGCCAGCTTCACATTATTACTGGGCTCCTCTTTCCTCATCCCCTGGATTATGGCAGTCAGAATCTCATTGGATTTATCCTGTAGCTGCTCTGGGTCCTGAAACGAGCAGAGAAGCGCAGTGAGTAAAATAATGAGCTCATGACTAATCAGCAGTCCTTTTAACTGTGAAATCACTCGAGTGAGCATCATGACTTTCTCTGATCTCTTTCCACACATTTCCATTTAGGGACAAATCACCTGCAAAATACCCCAAGGTCTAGTGGTCCAAAATCAATCTGAAACAAGTTAAACTCATCAACTTCATCTGATTTCTTAGCACGATGACTCTGGACATGAGGTAATGCTGACTTTTTCTTCCCCCTCTTGTGAAAGGGAAATGGCAGGCTGGTGTTTTTTCTAGTCTATCTGTACCGACTGAAGTAAAGCTTCTGAGGACCAAGGATCAATACCTAGGCACACCATCTAGGCAGTCTAAGTCCAGGTAAAGTGCTGTGGACGTCTTTGCTTCATCAAGTCTGTATATGAAAACAGACACCAAGGGTGGTAACCTCAGCAGCAGCCAGAGTCCCAGGAGGGCTGCATTTCACAAACTATGCTGTGCCTATGGTGGCTAAGCCAACTACAGCAAGGGTTGGCAAACTGTTTCTGTAAAAAAAAAAAATAAATGAAGAAAAACAACACAGCATCCTTGGTACACTGAGGATCTTGAGAAAGGGATCCAGGTCAGGGATGTTCTAAGGTAGAGAATATCCTCCTTTAAGAGTCTAGAATCTATGCCTCTCCAAGCATACAGATTTCTACTTTTGAGTTTGCGACCCTCAAGTCTCTTTACGTTAGGGCGTGATTAGCAGTATGAGGATAAGCCAGCTATCCAAATATAGAAGTCTAGATTACAAAAAAGCAGTCCTACTTGCAAAAACACTCTGTAGTAGCTTGGTTTCCTCCATCGTATGATAAAGAACAATCGTAGTACCATGCATGGGACAACCAGGGGGAATCAGAGCTATGTATGTTAGATACAGAAGGCAGTACTTACTATATCTTGGCAAATGTAACCAATAGCTTCCAATGTCGACTCTTTCATGTGCTCTGTGCTGTTGGGGTTTGTGACATTGGCCACCAGCTGAGGAATGAGCTCTGGCCACTGGTTCACTGGGATCTCCGCACAAGCAATACCAGCCACACATTGTGAGGCAGAACTAGGCCGGTAAGTTTCTGTGCCCAAAGTCTGCAAAACCTGCACACACACAAAACAAGATGAAAGATATCAATTTCTAATAATATTTGAACACATTTTGCCTACCGCCAAACCTCTTATATCAGTCTCAATTTTCTGCAACATGCGAAAGTAGAAAAGGCCTAAATGGTGTAGTCAGCTGTCAAAAAACAAAAACAAAACCAGCCTCAGTACTAATACCTGCATAATCAACATTATCCTAGACCCGAGAAACAAAACTAACCGCCCCCTGCTTCTAAATGGAATTCTCCAAAGCCAGACACCTCACGTCAACGTTTAATGCAACGTAAGAAAACAGTCAGAAGGGAGACAACGTTAGAAGGCAAGGGATGACAAAATTCACCTTCCAGGCTCCTTGTTGGTGGTACAATGGGAGGATGCTCACGGCCTTATTTTGTGGACAGAAAATGGGGGGTTTTAGAATGAGGCTAACTCTGGGGCATTCAAGTGGGTCTGATTCATGGTCTAGCCTGATTCAGGGAAGAGATCTTCCCACTCATGAAACATGGAACATAGCCTCTTCCCTCTGGTCATTGGCAATTTAGCACCCGGGATGACTTTCATAGAAAGGCCTTGGTCAGGGAACATCACTAAGCGCAGACACAAAGTTAATGATGTTACCAACACCTAAGAATGAATCCTTCTTTAACTTCCAATCTAGAAGGATTTGTTTTGTTTGCCCAAGAATCAGAGAACTCTTCTCTCTGCTTTCAACAGATACCAAGAACTAGTTAGATACGCCAATTAAAAGGAGATCTGCTTATCATTAAACTGGTCTTCTTTGAAATGATAATCATACAAGGATTTATGTAAAGGGTAAAGGCACAGGTACAGATAAAGGATGAAGCCACAACTGACCCAGAGTTAATCATTACCACAATCAGCTAATTCAGTCAATGAACTCACTAAGTATCACCAGTGCACTCAAAAGGCAAACAGTTAACTGTTCCTGGCATGAACACAGGACAAAGACTAGCTGCCAGATATTCAGGCCAGCTCTGCTGACTGGGTCAGGTCACTTAGTATCCTGCTTTGTAGCTAATAATAATGAACTCCCCATCCTTCCCCTATACAGTATATCATCCCCTATCCCCACTGCCAACAGCTCTGCCCAGTAACAAACTGTTCTGATTGATTCTAAAGGAAGGCTTTGCTCTCTAGGGTTACCAGAGCTAGAATGGTACACCGACAAACTGCACACTGAAGACATGGAGTGGGCAAGTGGGGATGAGATGACCGGTCCAAAACAGCAGGGGCCGAACAGGTATCAACCCAAGTCCGACTAAGAGTTCCAGTGCAAGGTGCCTTTCCACTATGCCACACCGTCTCCTAGTACAGATGCAGAGAGCACCGAATCCCATTGTAACTTTATCTTTTCTCCTTTAAATTGCTTCTGGAAAACTCTTCATTAATATTACTTGAGGTGATTTAGGGGTCACAAATGTCTAACTCCTAAGTACAGAAATTTTTTTTTTTTTTGACCTGGGGTAATCCTAATGATTATATTCATTATCAGAAATAAGAAGAATAATGAAGTAGCTCTCAACTGTGTCCAAGACCCACATTTCAAAAAAGAAATAACCATCAACACTGAGAAAGTACTAATTACCAGAGGTACTACGAAAGGGAAAAAAGGCCATATCAGCTGGTCTTTTTTTTCCATGCAGAAGGGTTCAACAATGCATATACAAAATTCACCCAAATTTAAAAAAGTGTTAAAAGAGTGATGTGCCAAAAAGAGTCAATTACAGTTCTAATCAGGTCTCCTCTCATTTACTACTGCGTAATTCAAGGAAGAAGAGAAACTGAATGGGCACTACACGCACCAAGATTTCCAGTGACTGATGAATGAGCTTCATTTGTATCAAATTACTGAAGGGAAGATTATAATGTTATTACATAAGCAGACCCAATGTGGATAGAAATAGCTCTACATATTCCAAAAAAGATTCAAAATAAATTGGCTTTCATAATCTAGTTCCCAGTCATAAGTACCTTCGTGTGAGACTGGAGAGGGAAGGGATATATAACTTGAAAGAGAGCTTATTGCCTCAAGGGGCACATATTTACCTAATGCTGACACCTAAAACCAGGAAACAGTAAAGATGATGTGTAGAACCATGACATGTACAAGTACACATTTAGGAATCCCGCCTCCCCCGCCCCCCACCGGTTTCCCCCTAAATACCAAGGACCAACTGCTTGACTTACCGTTTTTGGTGCCTTATCCACATTAAGACAGACCACTAAGAACCTCATTAAGTAGGGTGGGTGGGGAGGACATCTGGCCGTATATTTTGAATGTTTCGCTGCAGCTAGCATTATGGATTTTAATTCAACAACAAAGTCACAAGAACTCCATGATGCAAGGGACATCCTACTTTCCTCAAACCTCATCAGTCCATTCTTTGAACGCCCTGATTAAAGGCCAGATGTTTCTTAAGGAAGTTTTCCTAATTTGCTAAGTAGATAAAAGCATCATTAACATCATACTCTATTTTGCCAATTCTTTGGGCTTGAAAGACCCAGGACACCATTTAGTTCCCCTTTGAACACCACACTGTGCCATGCCTTATATCACCCAACAATGAGAATTATCTACAGAACTTCAACAAGAGCAGGGGCTGGCTGTGAAAAAAAAATCATGTTGGAAGACAGGAATATTTACAAAATACTCAAGCCTAACTCCAAAACAGAATCTCTGGAGGGAGCTTGGAAATATACTACTGTTATACATTCCTAAGTGATTCGGATAGTTCAAGTTTAGGAACCACCAATTCATATACTATGTCAATTCACAGATTCTACAAGTTGTGGCATCTAATGCAAGTTCCCCAAACCGCTACAGTTTACCTTAGTTCTGAAAAAAATTCCAATGCATTCATTAATGGGAAATCATGGCACAGTACAGACAAGCTGAACTGAGAAAGGAAATTTTAATCACATACAATTTTTATCTTTAAGTGAGGCTTAGATCTCAGAAACCAATACACTGTCAGCTCCATCCTATGTAAACGACAAAACTGATCAAGATGTTTCTTGCAGGGGGTCCAGGAGGAAAGGATGGGGTGGGGGTGAAGGGATGTTTCTTGTTCCCAAGGGCTAACACGACCAAAAGGAAATGAAGTTACTTACGTAATTCTTGACTTCCCGTCGGGCATTAGCATCAATTGCAAGCCACCTCTGCTGATATTGTGCCTTGATATCTGGATCTTTAGATGTCAAAGAGTTCTTGATTTGTAGACCAGCTGCAACTCTGGCAACCTGACTGTTTCCTGGATTTGCCAGCACTCTGGACAGTTCCACAAGGAAAGTGGGCTATTAAGAGAAGATACATTTGTGAATGAAAATCTCTTTCAGGAATTTCACCGGTTGAGGATAGCTTCCAGAGCACCACAATGCTGGGGGAAACTTAAGTTTTTCAGGACATATCACGTCTCAGAAAATGCTACAATACTACTTCGAGATTTCTATAAAAATGTTATATGGTACACAAGGAAGTCATCCATCTTCCCTTGCAGACTAAGCACTTAACAAGGAAGAGTACAGATTTTCCTACCAACATAATTCTTAGTGCCTGAATCTTCCTATTAGGTCTCCCAGAAAAAAATAAGTTTGACAGTCTAGTAGTCAAAGGATTCTTCTAGGTAATAATGCCTGATACTCAATAAACACTTAATAAATGAACCAATATGTTAGGACAGGGTAGAAAGTAAAATTGTCTCTCTAAAAAAAAAAAAAAAAAAAAAATCTTAGTCCAAGATGAATATTCAGGGTGGCTTTTGACCTCACATAGGCAGGTAATCTTGTATAACAGAGGTAAATACTTAAAAACCTAAAACACAGATTTAGAAGGCTAGTCCTCTGTTTTAGCTTGAAGTGCTCAGCAAGAGGGGAACAATGAAAAAAGACAACTTGGAAAATCTCATAATATTTGGAAACAGGAGAAAACTGAAAGATAAAAATGTCAAGGCAAATTTGCCAAGAAAAATGATTTTATGTTTAAGAGTCAACAGTTAACACACGAAAGGCTCCTATATATTTTGGACTTGAGCTGTCCACCAAACAGTGCATTTCTGAAAAGCGTACTCAATCTTCTGTAACGCACAGGACCCCTAAACTACTCCTTGTTTACAAATTTTAAGACACACTCCTCTTCCCTACAGAGAGCTCTGTCCAATTGGAAAAGTTTTCCAATAGGAAAAACCAAAGCAGACAATTTCTTACCACTAACAAGTTCTGCAGTCACAGCAGAAGATAATTCTTAAAGGTTTTATTAATTATATACCACTAAAAAATATCAGGAATGTCGGAAATAAAATGTTAGGAATAAGACAAAACGCATATCAATTAGCAGAGGCAGAAACAGGAACATACCCCAAATGGACGTATTATTACTGGTCTTGACTACTGAAAAAAACCCTTTCTATGAAAAATTTAAGGATACAAAGAGTAGTAAAAACTAGCACATAAGGGGGGAGGGATTTAAGGCAGTTTGTATAAAATAAGCCCTGTCACTTTTTTTGTTTATATTTTGTCTGAACAACAAAGGAACACATTTGGTTACGGCGTTATTTAGGCTTATTTTCTATTACCTTTAAAAGATGTCAAGTATCAACTACCTTTCCACCTGCTCCCCATCCCCCCCAGTAAGAGGGACCTCAAAGAGAATCGTTACTGCCACAGAGGCTGTTTCAACCCCATCCATCACACATTTTTTATGCAGAGATCCGGTCTAGTGGACTCATCTTCATTTTTTCTATACCCCTTAAACTTGAAAATATTAAAATGAGGAACTTTCCTCTGTGATTTCATCTGGAAACAGGCCCGATCAAGGATGAGCCTCAGCCCGCTGTATGGAT